AAACACCATATCTAAGTAAACAAAACATGAATTAGCCAAACAAAAATAGTACTTGAAATAGCAAACATTATATGCAATACAAACAAACATTGCAAGATTACAATTGCATAAAATGGACAGCAAAAACTTCCACATTACCTAATATATAAGAAATCTCATTTTGCACTTTGCACATTGTTGCAATCTAGTAACTAAGGAATTTGCAAAACGAAACTGCTAATTGCAAACAACAACACAAAAATACAAACGATAAAAACAACATACTGTAATGAACATTAAAAACATGCATGCAAACACCAATATCAAATTATTGGAATTCTCAAATCTTGAACATGAAACATTGTTATACAAATTAAAAAATGCGATAAAGAACGGTATCAAAATCTTTGAAATGTGTGAATAATCTAGTTCATTTTTGTGCATGTTTGTTGATGCGTATTCATGTCCTAGTATTGTAGTGAGTGTTTTCATGAGTGTTTTTGCGCATGCACTTTTGCAGGGATGCTCTTGTGCAAGGTTTTATATGTGTATTTTTGTGCATGTCTTTTTGTGCGAGCGTTTTTGTTCATTTCTATTGATGTATGTTCATGTCCTATTATTGTTGTCGATGTTTTCATGAGCACTTTTGCACATGTACTTTTGCGCGAATACTTTTGTGCTTTCTCCCACAGGGGGGGGGAAAACCCCCCCCCCCCCCCCCCCCCCCCCCCCCGCCCCCCGTGTTTTTTTGTTTATCAAATCAGATTGAGAAAAAAACACTCAAATTACCAGAAAATGCCCATTTGGCAAGGTTGCAGTGAGCACAACGATTCGCATCTCTTGGGAAAAAACTTGAATATCCATTTTACCCACATGAACCAAAAGCGTCGGATTTTCTCAATAAGTACCTTTGCAAACCAATAAAATGTGGATAGCATTAATTAGACAACCGGCCTCAAACTTGATCGATGATCTTAGAGCATCACGAAGGAATTTGTATCCTTCTTTGATCTCCTGAGTTTCAACAGTCAAAACATCCATGCATGGAAACTCAAAGGTGTGAGCATAGATAATAGGACCATTGATCAAGTAAGAATTGTTTTAATCCAGCCAGGAGGAAATCTTGTCCAACACTGGGAGCCTACTCTGGAAGCTTTATAGTCTTTATTAGAGACAAAATAATAATGGTTTTCTACAAACAATCCACAAATAATTATCTATTTTATGATTTTTTTTTTTTTAACATTTGAATTACGTAAAATAATTCAAGTATATATTCTATCATACATAAGGTACAAAAAAATCATTTAAATACTGTAAAATTGTTTTCTCGACATTTTGTTTCAACATGTTTATTTTTTCTTGGGGACTATTATGTTATTGATCATGTACATGGCTCCTATGTAAGTCTATATTTCAAATAATCTATCTTAAAAAAAATTTATTATTTATTGATAAATGCTAATAATTCTTTTCTTGTATTGCAAATGTACATTTTCAAATGATTTGTAGAGACAAGTCAGCCGGAGGGCATACATTTATGTAGGGATGTTCATGTGCCAATATGGTTCGGGTTTTGCAATAAACCAAACAAGTACCGATAATATCCATTTTTTATAATTTAAAACCGTGTATGTCTGTTTTTTTCGGTTCAGTACTAATCGGTTTTTCGATTTTCGATGAACAATATCGGTAACAATTCGGTTTATTTTCAGTTTCGGTTTCGGTTTCGTTATCGATTCGAATCGGTTCGGTACGAAACCGATGTTTTATTAACGGTGAATTTGGACTTCTATCACATTTCTTTGAAAAAATTAACAAGTAACAATCCAAATTAACTAATAAAACAAATTTACTGCCATTAAAAAAAAATCCCTCTTGCCATAAAAAATAGAATGAGATTACAACTAATAAACCTGATGTCATTAATGTCATCTTCAAAAAAAATAAACATGTTACCCCAACACAAAACAAGTCCAACTACATCAAAAGATTAAGTATCTGAATGTGGCCACATTGAGTACCCAAAAAACTTAAACAATGTTGCCACAACCCAAAGGAAGTCAAATTACACCAGAGTGCATTTGGATGGGGGGATTTGATTTGAGGAATGGATTTGAAATGACTCCAATTTTGGAGTAATTCAAAATCCACACCAATTGCTCAAAAAACAACAAAAAATAAGGGGTGTGGATTTAAAATCCATCATCAAATCCCTCAATCTAAACAAGTTCAAGGGATTTATTATTATGGATTTGAAATCCTTCCTCCGAATCCCTCAATCCAAATGGACCTTAAATCACATATTAATAAGTCTCTAAACGGCAACATAAACCAGTTTCAAAAAACTTATATGGTAATTTAAACTTGAGTACTAATGAAGAATTGATTGCCTTGCCCACACAACACAACCCTGAAAATGGTAATTTTAAAGTTCGTTAATATAATTAGCTTGAGAAAATCAACAAATTAGCTTGAATAATTACCCTTTTTGAAACATCAATCATCCATGGTAAAGAACTTCGATTCACATGCGAATGCATCTAGAAGATTATCAAAATACAAAATATATTAGATTGTAAAAGTTAAACAATAAACATATTAGTATCTCAAAAAATTAACTCAAAATATATATTAAGAACTTGTACCTATCTCGAGGTTTTCCATTCTGATTTGCAGTTCTTCTGCATCCTTGCCTTTTACATTAAAGAATTCGATGTCGGTCGGCAAAGATTGTATCCCGTCTTGAGCACAAATTAGAGCTTCGACCATCCTAGGAGTAAGGGAATTCCTATATGGATCAATCACCCTACCACCAATGTTAAATGCCGATTCAGATGCAACAGTGGAGATGCCGAGCAACTTGAGAAAGTATTGGAAACTTTAGCGAGTTTATTATCCACCAATTTACAATATCAAAATTTTCAATCCTCTTCTTCATTCCATCGGAAAAATATGTTTCAACTTCCTCCAAGTATTTCAAGAAACTTGATTCTAAATATGCTTTCATGTCACCACTCTTACAGTTACCATCAATAAAATTCGAATATGAAAATACTTTGTCAGCTTTCCTTTTGTAGTTATCATACAATTCATTTAAAGTCAGACGAACTCGATCACAAACCTCCTTGGATTTTTGCGTATCTGTCCCAAACGCTTGTCCTAAACAAAACACAAGATAGTGCATCTTGTTGCGAGGATGTAACACCGCAACCGCATACAACAAGAAATTCATATTATCATCATTATCCCAATACTTCTCATATTTAGTTTTCATCGAAATTGCCATTTTCCTCTTTTAAACATTCTCACTCAAGCACATCTTCGAAATACTTGCATGCATTGCCACAAGTTCATTGAAAATCATGAATTAGATGTAACATATTTCGACCCCGAAATTAATTGGTACATTGTAGAAGAGCTTCAAATATTGAATGAATTGTCTTGCTTTGAACCAATCATTCTCATCAGGAGGCCCCAAATATTTCTCATTCCTCCTCCTCTTCCTCGTATTCGTCTCATTTTCATCTTCATCAGCACCTCCAAAGTATGTTTTAAAGTTGTAATCAATTGATTGAAGCCTTTAAAAAGCTCGAGCATACTTCTATGCGGTCTCCAATATTAAATAGGTGGAGTTCCACCTTGTTTCCACATCCAAACAAAACTTTTTTTTGTCGACACATTCTCTGAAGCTCGCCTCTCGACCTAACATATCGTACAACATTTCTAATTTTTACAACCGACTCATTTTGTTCCTCTAAACCATCTCGCACCACAAGGTTCAGAATATGGGCACAACACCTCAAGTGAATATACTTGCAGTCTAATATAGCATCCGTTCCTTGAAGCATGGTTTTCAATTATTTGATAGCTCCATCATTTGATGAGGAGTTATCCACAGTCACATTGAAAACTCGTTCAATTGCCTTTTTTTGTAAACACTCATAAACCATTTTCCCAATTGTCACCTCCTTGTGATTACTTATGGGGCAAATCAATATTGCTTTTCTCAAAACCCAATTTTCATCAATCCAATGAACCGTAAGACACATTTAATTTATATTTTGAACGGATTCATGTGTCGGTGGTGAGAGAAACTGTTTGATCTCTTAAGAGTTTCTTCAATTTAATTGACTCGTCTTTGTAGATCGCTAAACAATCTCTAGCCACTGTCCATCTGGATGGAATTTTGAACAAATGACATAGTTGAAAGACATGATCCCTTCATCATCAACAATTCTGAACGGCCTATTGTCCTTAATACACATTCGAGCAAGCGAGATTCTACATTTATCTTGATCAAAAGAATGAAGAACAAGCTCATCACCCGTATTTTCCCCATTCACAGCTGGTTTATAACCCAAAATTGATGATTGTTTTTTAAATCAATCTCAACTTTTCTACACTCGCTTATTAACCGGATAAGGAAGCATACTGCAGCATGGCCGTGTTTTCAGGGTTTGATTTGTTATGTTACGCATCTGGTATTAGAGAAATTGGATCAAGAGATGGAGTCCCCGACGATGCAAGATCCGAGTATTTGCACACACTATCTTTGGAATACTCATGGGTTCCCATGCGCGTGCAAAATTGTACAGAAAAGGGAAGATAATGACACGTTCGTCATTTCAGACTTGCATCCATTCTGGAGTACCATGGCAGTTGAGCCTTCGGAGCTACCTGAGTATCAAATAAACCGCGAGGAGATTGTGGATAGACAGATTGATGACCTGAATTGCAATTTGAAGAAGATGAATTACACGAGTAAGATAAATATCGTGGCCTCATTGCGTGGCATCGTTTATTCGTCTACGTCGCATATGTCCGAGCCATCATTTGTTAAGACCAAAGGACGACCAAAGAATAACTCGACAAAGAGAGACCCTTCCGGATGGCATTATCATATTGATGCGGAGACAATTAAGTCGTCTTGTGGTTCCAAGGGTCGCTAAACCTCATATGGTGCAAAAATTCCTAAAGCAAAGGTTGAGAGAAGCACTGATGGAACGCCTCAATCGAAGATGAAAGGTCGTGGTTCTCGTATTCCCACACAAGAATTTGCTGCCCCTACAATACCTGCACATGAAGGAATCGACTTTTATTCTTTCGTGCCCAGATTTATGGTCCGTCTTATTCAAGATTATGTTAACGTGATGGCGGATGGCAGCTGTAGGTACCGGTGCGTTGCTCAAGCCGTGTACGGGGATCAAGAAAGATGGTCGCAAATGAGAGGGGAGTTGCTTATTGAGTTATACGAGCATGCTAATGTGTACACGACGATGTTTGGCAGTACCAGATACGTTGCGGTCATACGCAAGTGTGACTGGACCTCAAGGCCTTGTCCACAAGCTTATTGGATGGACATGAATGAAATGGGATTGGCCGTTGCTACTAGATATAGTGCATTAGTGGTACTTTTGACTCAAGTAGGGAGTATGACTTACCTTCCTATGTTTGACAGTGGTCACTTATCATGTATGATTCTTGTGACATTGCACAACAATCATTTCATGTTTGTTAATTTGGTCGCGAATAGTCCTCTACCATCAATCCATCCGGCATGGGTACACCATAGAGCTAAAAACCTGAGGCACTTACTCAAAATGTACAAACCCCTAATACTCTTGTACGAACAACTAAAGTCTGGTCGGTAGTTCAATTTGTAGTTGTATTTGAATTCTAGTTCAATTTGTATTTGTATTTGAATTTTGGATCAATTTGTAGTTGTATCTGAAATCTAGTTCAATTTGTATTTGTATTTGAATTTTTAAGTCAATTTGAGTGTCTGAAATATATTGGTTAAATTAAAAAAACAAATCAATTAGTTATTTCGTACTGAATTCCACGAAATTGTACATTATATTTCGTGGAACAATCTACAAACTATAAGGTATAATTTCGTGGAAAAATCCACGAAATATAATGTACAATTTCGTGGTTTTTGTCACGAAATAGGTGATTTTTTTCAATCCAACAGTTTCGTCCTTCGTGTTCTAGAACAATAAACACTTATATTTCGTATAAAAATACACGAAATTATTGAGTGGGTTTCGTGATATAATACACGAAATAGCGGGCGGATTTTTTTTTTTTTTTTAAGAACGTTACAAATGAAATAAATAGCACTGCAAGACAGTAAAAATTGCACTATAAACTACGTTTCAGTTAATTAAAAGATATGTTGAATTTATCTTAAAAAGGGAAAAATAATTTGAACCTCACTTGATAAGACAATGCATATGAGGGGTTTGTGAAATAATCTCATATTTGTAATTAGGTTTGGTACGAGGCCCCTACCGCCCCACGTATTAAAAGTAAATTTGTTGGTTAATGACTTAATTCTGCATTTTCCAAAATAAAAGCTCAAAAAGATAAAATTAATTAATGGGGGAAATTTTGAAGACAGAGTAAAGTGATGCAACAAATTCAGCAGAATTATTAACACATTCATTCATTCTCTCCCAATTTCACACAAACACAATAATAATAATAATGCCTCTGAACTCAGCCTCCACTTACGGCCCCATCTCCGCCGCAAAGCCGCCGCTAGTATCCCGCGCTCGTTCCCTGTACGCCGCCCGCCGTCCATGGCGAGTGTTCCTCGACATCTCCGCCATCTCAATCCCTTTCAGCTACGCCGACGCCATGTCCAGAATCCGCCTCAACGCCAACCATTTCCGCGTCAATTACGCCCTAATTATCCTCATCGTCCTCTTCTTCAGCCTCGTCTACCACCCAATCTCCATGATCGTCTACTCGGTTTCCTTCATCGCCTGGCTCTCGCTCTACTTCTGCCGCGAAGATCCGCTTCTGATTTTCGGCAGAGTCGTTGACGATCGCGTCGTTTTGGTGGCGTTGGGCTTGGTTACCGTGGTCGCGCTGGTGTTTACGCACGTGGGGATAAATGTTCTCGTGGCTCTGATTGTTGGTGTGTTTTTGGTTGGCGTACACGCCGCGTTTAGGGGTACGGAGGATTTGTTCTTGGATGAGAGTGATGCCGCCCAAGGCGGATTGCTCTCCGTTGTCCGTTGAAAAAAAAATTAGGGCTTTTTCTGAATTGAGTTTGAATCTGGGGAATTAGGGTTTTTAGTTTCATTGATTGGGAATTTTTGTTGTGCCGTGTGAATTTGAAGTGAAAGATTCGACATTTTTTTGGAGATTTACGAAAAGTCGGTAACTTGACATTGTAGTTGTATTGCGGGTTTGAACGTAGACATAAGCTTTTTGTGGGAGAGGATGGAACAAAAATGGCTGATCACAGTTTTGATTGGTGAGAGTTCGAAATGTTTATCGGGATCTTGTAATAACCGTATGGGAAAATTGGGTTCAAACTCAATTGCAGTTTCTTTTGTGAAGATTAGAAAAAGTTGTGATGGAATGCTTGCAGTTGCACTAGTCTAACTTGGGAGGTGAGTTATTGTTTTCCTCCGACGTATGAATCACCGTGTTATGAAATAGGGCATGTCGTTTTGTGTTCTAAGATTGTCTCAATGCTTCTTGGTTAAAAATTGAAGCCAATTTTCGTTGACATCTCTAGATGTTATGGAATTCGTTTGCCAGTTTGTTATTTCTTTGGTTTGGTTTTATAGTGATATTTTGCTTGTTCTGAACTATGATCTATTCTTTTGCTGCGACTGATTAACCAATGTTTGGTGCAAATTTGGTCTCTCTTTTTTTTTTCTTGAATTGCTCAGACCTCAGTATAGTCGATCAGAAAAAAAAAAGAAAAAAAACAAAAAAGTGGGAGAAATCATAAACTTGTGCAACTCAAACGTCATTTGTTACATTGGCTGCAGAAAGAATCTTTTTAGTATATGATGATTGTTCAATCCACAAGTTGCACATGTTAGCAGCAATAGAGAAAAATGTCTGTAGGGATGCACTTACGAAAATAAGATAACTAGGATGCATGAAGATTATTCAATTAGCTCAATTTGTGAGCAGAGTAGATGCAAGAAAGTTGTTAGAGCAGATTAAATAAATAAAAACATTTATGTTTCTTTTTCAATGATAATCCTCTGTTTATGTATATCACTGTACAGTGATCAACAATACTCTTGTGTATAGTTTAAGATTTGATCAGGTGCGTTTGATGACCTAATAAACAAGCTTCGTCGTTCTTGATCGACTGTTCATACTTAACAGCGTTATCTGATGTAGAGTTAACTACTTACGCATGTGTTCATTCAATATGTGCAGGCAGAGTTGCTCGTCTAATGAACTTAGTTTTACAGTTGACAATGGTTTATGTGAAGTTTTACTAAACTTTCGTATGCAGCCAAAAACCAATTAAATTTGGCTTACATGTTACTGGTTGCGGGACACAGTGCATACTGTTTGACAAGCCAAACCATTCGATTGAACGTTAAAACCAAACCCAGACAAACTTCAAGCTTTTGAAAATCATAGAAAACAAGCACAGATGTTATATTTTTTCTATTCGCCGGACCTAATAACCCTTAATGTTTTTAAATAAAAATATAATAAAGTCATCCGACATAAAACATAAGCCCAGTAAAGAATGACTAGAGTCTGAAACTAACACGTCACTAAACAAACAAAACTGAGATCTTAATCAAGATTTCGGCTGCTGCTTTGAAGCGTGAAATTTTCTTCCAGCGTCAACAGCTTCCTTGAAAGCAGTTACAAGCTCCATGTTATCGGGGTTAAGCGTTACGCCCTCGTAGAATGCATTCGCTGCATCTTCGTACCTCTGCAATAATTCAACTTTAATAATAACTCTAAAAAACAAATATACATCCACACACACACACGAAAAAAAAATTATATAATACAGACCTCTAGTAGACGAAGGGCAGCACCCTCACGATAGTAAGCTTTGGGCCAATCGGGCTTAAGAGCTTTACATGCTTTGGCATCAGCTAAAGCATGTTCAGCTTGTCCCAAACGATACCAGCTCAGACTTCTATTCGATAGCAATGTACCATCACTCGGGTCGAAATCTATTGCCTGCATATTATATTCACCTTAAACAACTTAACTATAAATCCAAATGAAATGACAGACAGTTCGAATGAGTTAGCCAATCGAGCAGAAGATAAGAGTTTTGGTGCAAACCTAAGTTTTGGTAATAGGATCTGTTGAGGTTTAAATTTGACTAGTAATCTAGCAAGAGGCTACAAGTCACATGAACTTTCTAAAAAAACAGGGTAAATTAAGAAAACCCCGTGAACGTTGGCAAATTTACGAAAAACACCCCACCTATCCGTAAGCACCAAAACCCCCCGACGTTTGTTTATGTCTTACACCGACCCCCTTAAGGTGTAATTTTTCACGGAATCTTCTTTATTCCAGTTAATATCTCCCAAAAAATGTCAATTCTACCCTCTGCAAACGTGGCATTTCTTTATGCTACTTTTTAAAGACAAAAATCACCCTCAGATAGGTAATGATGTACTAAAAATTGTGAAGGTGTTATTTAAGACCAAGTAAAGATTCCGTGTAAAGGATCCCAAGGGTAATTTTTTCCTTTAAAAAGTAGCATAAAGAAATGCTACGTCTTTAGGCGTAGAATCGGCATTTCTTGGGAAATGCTACTTGGGATAAAAAGAGTTTGGTAATCACGGATAGGTGGGGGGGGGGGCATTTTTTGTAATTTAGCCCAAGTTCAGGGGGGTTTCGTAATTTACACAAAAAGATATTCAATTATAGGTTGAGATAAGTGGTTCTTGGCTTATTGTTTGCTCTGATTATCCTCATAAAAAAAAAAAAAAAAAAAAAAAACAAAACAAATTATGCATTTTGCTTTTTTGGACATTTTTCTCGCTATCATGTTATAATCGGCAGAGAACAATTAAGATTAACTTTTCAAGAGGCTGTTTGTCTCGACTTATTTACAATTTCTGCACTAGCTACAATTTTAACAACCTAAAACATGCATCACTCATTTCAACAACAATATCATTTTTATCTTTTCCAAACATGTAACCATCAATTTCAAATCAACCATCTACTTAGTAAAATTAGGACCCAAATCATTTCCAGAATACGTAATAAAATAAGTAATAATTTGCACTCCGACATAAATTTGACCAACAAAATGTGAACCTGTGTATAAGCATCAACTGCAGTCATATAATCTTTCCTCCTAAAAGCATCGTCAGCCCTGGCCTTTGCTTCAGCAGCTTTCTTCTTCGCTTCGGCGGACACCTAAACATTGAAAATTATATTAATAAAATCCAAACGAGAACAGATTTCAGATTATCGTTGCCGTTTCCAACAACAGAAAATAAATTTTGTAGTTTTGCAAGATTCAATGCGAATAGTTTGTTGACAACTTGCTCGGGAATAAAAACTATGCCAATAAAAACAGAGTTAAAATGCAAATAGAATTGTAATATTTCAATAACAGTTAAAACAAAGAGGAAAAACACGTTCAACGGTAGAGGCAAGTATAATTCAAGAAAGACCTGCGGTATATCTTGCTTGGGTGGTGCAATATCCTTCACTTTGTTAGATTCCTCCAATCCTTCATTTTTACCCTGCAATTCATTTACATAGAAATCATATAACATCTAATGTGTAAAAAAAAGACGAAAGCATCCATTATAAGGCCACTTTTAGTAAACTGTAATCATCCATCATAAGACTTCAACTTGTTTCAGAATATCAACACCTCAAAAAATATCAATCCTTTCTCGATTATCAATTGTAATCACACAATGTGAAAAGAGTGATGAAGAAGGTACCTCTATTATCCCTGTTTCACGTTGCATGTGTTGAAGAATTCCATCAACACTCCATTCAGGTACTGAAGAAAGTGGCAATGTTACAGGGTGAAGAATTTCAACAGCCACTCTGTTCCCTCGGGCAGCTGCCACCTGTATCGGCTTCAAGCCATCCTGCAAAGGTATTTCAAAATTTTCAGCAATGATGTAACCATTCAGAACCCCCTCGTTTTCTCCCAATCACACTTGTCACAAAAAAAAAAGGAAAGAAAGTAAGAAACAGGAACATGGTGATATCCTTGTTGAGCAACTCCCAAATAATTCTGAGCATGTAAAATCAACCAAGACTGAAGTGTGTCAATACATGCAAAAATGTCGCTACTAATTTCTAATACCATCAAATAGCGAAAGAATACTAATTGAGACCTTCAGCTAATTCTATTAAATTTTGAGTAAGTCGCTATGAAAATGATATGTTGATAAAGTTAATATCATTCCGTAGTAGAGCACAAATTAACAATATGTGAATGTGGGTTTTTCATTCAATATGTCTTCAGTCGATCCAAAACAAATGTAACATTACATATCAATTAACCGCATTGGGCCTTAGTTCTGATCTGTGCGCTGAAATTTGAAAGCTGATGAGTTGAATCAAGAAATCGAAGAATGACGGTGTTATTCTTTGAGTGATCTTGTAAAGGTAAATATAATTAGAGACGAGATATTTGTATCAACTTCATTTGAGCCTCAAATGGAAAAGGACAATTGGCATGTAAAATTGTGCCAGCTTTACCTCATCGGCAGCATTAGGATCGCCTCCAGCTTGTAATAAGCAGCTTATAATTTCTGGGTTACCGCCATCAGCTGCAATGTGCAAAGGTGTTGCTCCACCTGCAGCAATGTTCACTATTGCACCTGCCTAAATAAAGAACATGACAGCTGTCATACAGGCTTTGATATTCTGGGAATAACCAGTACACAATACAAATTTACGACCAGTTGAGTGAAATAAAAATAAAACAGTAATGTCGATTTATGACCAGAGAGTGCATGCAAAAGCAACAATTTCAGTATTGCTCACTTATGAAACCTTACAACTGCTGCATATTCAGACCGATTATTGCTAAATCACAGTGTAACTGAGTTTAACAGTCCGAAGTGCTGTAACTAAGTTTTTCTTGCCTCAGTCACTGAATATTATGGTGTTCAACTGAAAGCTAGTACACAATTAAATCATCTAAATACAGAATAGTATCCAAAGCACCTCGGAAATAATTTACCTTAATTAACAACTCCAAACACGGCAATGAATTTGCTGCAACAGCTGATAGTAGAGGAGTAATATCATCCTCGGTTTTAATATTTGGCTGCAAAAAAAGCAAACAAAAAATATAAAATCCATAAGTGACCACCAAATCTTCAATTAGATAATAAACATGTTTATTCCGTAAATTTAGTCCAATCAACTCATGGTTGCAATGAGAACGAATTTTTTTTATCGCTGTGATGAATAATAGTCCCTGAAATAACATGGACAAAAATTATGCAGGTTTTTAATAAGAAAAACAATCGGGAATTGATTTTTCATGTTTTAAATGGATGAGGAATATTACATCAATGTTATAACTGGAGAAATGACCGATTCCAGTTTGTCATGTTTTGCTTTCTGTATTTACATAGTAGTGTCAGGAAGTATTGAGAACACGAAATAATTTAATCGCATTTTAAATTCACCCTTATCCGACACAGAGGCTCCTATGCTATAAAGAAACATCATAGAGTGATTATTGCAAAAAAGATACTTGATAGATTTGACTTCGATTAAACCTTTTTCAAGTTTTTAGAGCATTTAACTTACATCGGCTTTATGTTCAAGTAGAACTTCAACGGACTCTTGCTGGGCATGACCAGCGGCCCATATAAGTGGAGTACCGGCGTCACTTTGCAAATCAACGTCTACATCCTTGGTCAGTAAGAATTTTAACAACTCAATATCTCCTGCAAGAAATGATGTAAACCATCAAAATTTTGACTCGAACTGTGGAAAAAGAGAGGGAAAACACAGCTAGTTCCAGAAAATTATTTGGTGAAAATGTTTCGGAGTCAAATTCAGATCATTCAACAATAAGGAAATCAGGATACAGCCTTTTCATAGAAAGGGTTCACGATTTTGTTTAACTTCTAATTGATCTATGTAAGATGTGGCTTCTGTTGTGAAATCGACAAAAAGATAATTCGGAAGCCTGATTTATATCCAGAAGGACTGAAGGAGAACACGTTTGAACAAGGGAAATTACTTTGAGCAAAATTTTATGAAAGAGAATACCAACACTCCAACTGGTTGAGAAAAGGGCACAAATGAAAAGATTGGGTACGATAGCCTAGGGACGAAAACTATCACATAAACAAAATGGACGTCCCTCTGTTGAAGTTCGACATTTCTTATCGACATAGGATATCAAAATCAAAAGTTCTTAAAATGACAGAACTTGATTGAAGTTGGTCTTAGCATACGACTTGTCATTCGTATACTCATAAAGACTGGAAATTTTCTCTACCCATCGAACCGTTCTCTAATTTCTTGTAACAAAAAAAAATTAAACGAGTATATTGACAATAATAGACAACCCTTGTGCAAAATAACAAAGATAAATGATCATAATTTTTTTCATTGTCACAAAAGTTAAAATTTGCACATATCTAAACATTCTTGCCGACAAAGTTTGTTTTACTAATGCTCTTGAAAAGAAGTAGCACTCCTTGTTTATGCCTTCATGAAACACTTCACTCGAACTTATAGAAGAAAATTCGAAAGACAACCATACTACAGGCAAGACCATATATATCTAAACATCGTTAACGCAAATACAAAAACATCAAACAAAAATATACCCAATCCTGCAGCATGATGCAGAGCAGTGGTCCCTAATTCACTCGGTATAGAAGGATCAGCGCCACGATCCAAAAGATATTTCGCAGTGTCGGAATGCCCTTGCCTCGTTGCGTGAAGAAGAGGAGTCTCTCCTAAATACAAACAAAATAAAACAATTTCAAATGTGAAGCATCAAATATAAAATCACTGATTCTTTCATCGAATTTTTCGTAATTTTGCGTACCATCGTCGTCCTTGGTATTAGCATCCATCTTCAAATCTTCAAGCAAGTACTTGCAAACATCAATCTGACCCTCCCTCGCAGCAAAATGCAGAGCCCCTCTCTTGTTAGCATCCTTCACATCTGCTACAGTTTGTGCTAACCCCTTTCCATCATCAAGTTGATGTGCTAATTCTAATTTTTTTTTTTGGGTACATCAATAGAAAAAAAAATTGAAATTACAAATTGAAGCGGAAAAAACAATTAAAACTGTCAAAATCGTCCAAATTGGTACCGATTGAAAAATAAAGGTGCTCACTTTTAAGGAGGTCCAGATTTCCAGTCCGGGCTGCATTCAAGTAACGCTGAACTTTTTCCCTAACTGCAGCCAATTAAAATGCATCAGAACAAATTCAATTGGAAAAAAATTCAATCGGCTTAGTTTCATGATTTTTAGTCCATGTTTTCAATTTCAATTTGAAAAAAATCAGAAGAAATAAAGAAGAAGAAAAAATACCTGCAAGAGCATCAGAGGCATCAGCAGCCATGGATATCTTCTACCGGAAGAGGAGAGAGAAAGAAGAGAGAGAAAGAAGACTCTTATTCTCTTAGTTGTGGGTTTTGCGGAGTTGTTCTAAAGGCAGGCGGGTGTTTGCAGGGTTTTTGTACTTCCAGAGAATTCGCGTTCTGCCGAATATTACTTTCAAGCCCTTATGTTTTAAAACCAGTGCAAAGATGGTCCTGGGGTTTTTAATTGGTTTTTGTTTTACTTTTTTCTTTTGGTTGAATACAATTTTCACCCCTTAAGTATGAGGATTATAACACTCATGACTTAACCCCCTCATGTATTATTTTTTTTATTTTTTTATTTTTTGAGTAAATTCGAGTTCATGGGAAGTAGGGGAGGCGGCACTCGAACCCTAGACTTTTACTCTACTGGTAAGCTCGGTACGAACTCTCCTAATTAGGGTTGGACCATAGTAGTTAAACTCGCGAGATACCGCGATATATCTCGCGAGACGGTACGGTCTCAATCAAAATAATACAACTCATACTCTGTATCGGCTACGCATAAATACCGGTAAATATCGCGAAATATCGTGTCGTATAGCCATATCACAGTACGATACGATATTTACGATATTAGTAAAAATAATAAAAATTTATAAAAACAAAATGAAAAAAAAAAAGAAGGGGAAGAAGGAAACGAGATATTCAAAAAATCAGGGCTTGAAAAATAGATTTCAACATAACTCTCTTCATATTCAGAGCCTAATTCATCTTTCTCTCTTCAATTTCTCCAAAAAATCTAACAATATCGCAACCCTAACTCAATTTCTATAGATTCTTGCAATTTGTTTGCAATTCAAGACCGATTCAAGTGCAAATTCGACTGGATTTTGTGCATTTTCAGTATTTTTTAAATATACTATTATTCAATATTATTTAATATTTTTCGTATATATATTAGGTCCAACAAATTTAAACGCCAAGTTTGAGATTGATAAGAGGAAAAAATGAAAGACCAAAGTAGTTCATGAAGTTGAAGAGATTGATGAACATGAGGACGAAGACAATTGTTTGAAATTGGTGGATGACGAAGATTTAAGGGACATTGACCTTGAAGATGATAAGTGACACAACAGTTTTTTTTAGAAATTAGATATTCGGATTTGAACTTTGTTTATGTTATTTTATGAACAATTATGAGTTTTGTCCTATTTTATAATGCAATGTTGAAATTTGAATTTATATATATATATTTAAAAATGAGTAGCTTGGCTTTAAAATATTATTTTTTACATTTTTATAGCATTTTTATTATGTAGATAGAATTTTTATTCATTATTTTTAATAGCTGGTCAAATATCTTACGATACGATACGATAAATGATACAATATGATACGGGGAGGAAAACGATACGATGATATTTTCCGATTTGATAACCGGTTGGTTACCCCTCTCATGTATTAAATGTACCACTTTCCCCCGCTCCTAGTAAACTTGACAGTTTTTTCGACCCTACACCCAGTGACAAACACCGAGTAGGTCTTCTGCTGACACGTGTTATGTTCTACTATTTATTATATATTCCTCTACTTTAGTTTTAGAAAAATACAAAAAAATACACGTGTCAGCAGGAGACTCATCCGGTGTTTAATCACCGAATGTAAGGTCGAATGAGCCAAACTTGACTATGAAAAGCTGATTTTGATGACGGGGATTCTTTTGCTGTAAATGATTAGTTGCATTTTTATGTGTATAAATAGTCCACCTCAAAATAAAGTTTAAAAGAACCCTCAAAAATCAAAATCAATCTCAAAATTAACATAGGTTTTGGTCGTGAGTTTGTGATAAGTTGTCAATCAATTGCGTATTTTTTGTTGTACTAGGAAGATGGACGTGCATTGCACGTCTAGATGTTAATTTTTCTATATTTTTTGTAATGCTTGAATTTTTATTGATATTATATATGTAGATATTTTGTGATGATAATTTATCCATTTAAATCAAGCAACTTCATCTAATATTGAAATCTAGAAGTATGATATTTTTGTTCATTATAATCCATGACTCAATTATTATATTATTTTCTTGTGATGTCGATAATTTAATTCGACCATCTGTTTTTCTTGTTTTTTGTCCACATTCTTAAATGCTTCAAGTATTTTTATATCATCATATATAACTTTGGATATCATGTTTTTTTGGTGATACTATTGTTATTTTTGACTTGGACTTCTCTTTCTTTGGATTTGTCCAATCTTAATTATCTCATTCCTTTTTAGAAGAAAAAATAAACAAAATAATGATGTCTTTGTTTCATTTTTTTCCGGTTTATCATTAGATTGCCTCAATGGCTTTCAATTAGTTATTTATCCTAATTTGTTGAAACATTATTATTTGTTGTTTAGAAGAATAGAATTATTTTAGGGGCAATTTGCTATAGGTCCTCCTATAAGAGATTATATGTGTTAAAATCCATCTAATAAACTCTAATTTCCAGCAATTTTTTGTATTTATAATTTGTCAAAAGTACCCCTATCAATATCCCTATTAATATACGGTAAAATATATCTTCAAAATCCAATCCCCTATTTTTCTCCCGATTATACTGCAAATCCGAAAATTATAATTGCAAAAATATGGAAATCGATTTCTTCCCTGTTTCTTCAAAGCGAAAATCTCACCACGAATTTTGAATCCTTCCATAGGTTTTGGGTGTTTGATCGTTTGCAGTTTTACCAGGTCGTTTGCATTTTGTCTTCGTTCGATTTGCTGTTCACTATTTGCATTTGTTTCGTTTGCTGTTTATAAATTACCAGGTCTGAGCATTTTGCCTTTATTCCGTTTGCCTTCGTTCGATTTGCTGTTGCCCATTTGTATCTATGTTGTAAGTGTCTGCTCGTGCTTCATTTGTATTTTGGAGACATCGTTTGCTATTTTGGAGAAAAGTTCAAGGCATTATCGCCATAACACAAAAGGATGTTGAATTGAATCGAATCTAGAGGTACTTTGACACAAGGGGGTAAATGAGGAAAAAAAGCAAAGTTCTAAACCCGGAAGAATCTGCTCTTTATTTGTGTTGTTTGGCGAAAAATGTGGCGACTCCAAATGACCCACACACACCCCTTACCCGGTAAATTTCAGGCATTTCTACAAGCATTAACATTATAAGTCAGTTTATGTTTGTAAAATTTGTATGCATTTTTTTGGTTTGCATTTTGAATTTCTTGTTTGCATGTGAATTTTATGGTTTTATTGTTGCTGGGTTTTCTTGTTATTTGTTTGAAGTCTACAACTTTTTGGCATTTTAGGTAGTCTAGTACTTTTAAGTCCGCAAAATATGTGCAATTTGTTGTTGTTTATGTGGTTAGATTATTATTATTTTTCTTTTAGAATGTTGTAATATTTTGATATTCTGTAAATTGCAAATTGCAGCATGTCAAATGTAAACATCAAATAGTAAAAATTTAAATAAAATGCAATAAATATGAAACCAAACAAAATTGTTTATCAAATACACTGCAGACAACAAAATATAAAAAAAAATTGTTTGCATAATGCAACTTAAATCAGAAATTACAATTGCAATGTAAACTGGAATGTAGAATTGGAATGTAAAATAGTTATTTCGACAATTTAATAAATTTGTAAGAATTTCTTTATTTTGTTTACAATAAATTATTTTCATTTTTTACTTTGTTGCTTGCATTTTTTTATTTTTTTTTTTGCAATTTCTTGTTTGAAGTTTATTGTTTGCAATTGTTGTTCGGCATTTGTTGTTTGCAATTTTTAGTATTTTTTTGGTATCTCCACTTTGTTGTTTGCAGTTTCTTATCATAGGTATTTGTTGTCTGCAGTTTCTTATTTTAAGTTTCTAGTTTTGTAAATGTTTATTTGACATTTGTTGTTTGTCATTTCTACCTTTTCTTCAATTTTTCCTGTTTGTATTTGATGCCTGCAAATTGGTGTTTTGGTTTCAATCCCAATTTGCATTTGGAAACTCTTTGTAATGGTAAAATGTTTTTTTGCATTTTGGTGTTCTTGCTACTAATTTGTAAATAACTTATTTTGTCAATTTTACTGGTTGTTTGCATGCTAGATATTGCAACATTTTACTTGTGTCAAATATGGCTGCATTTTATTGTTGTTTGATAATGTGCCTGCATTTGATTGATTGTTTATATTTGCAACTATTATAATGTTGTTTTGTATCTGAACCTCATAATTTTTTTTTGTTTTTTTTCGTTTAGTGCCACGAAATATTGATCAAGTTTTTGGTTTTTTTTTTTGTTAGTGTCATAGACACGGTGAAGAACCACGAGAGCGCGGGTGATGAACAAAAGTTGACATTTGAGTGAATGCAAGTTTTGATTCTGCTACCCATTCACCATACTACAATCCTAATTCAGTGGATTGCGGGTTATTTTTCATGTTTAGAGCACGCCAGTTTTACTTGCAACAACTGGTAGTGCAAATTTTCATGGATAGTAAAATTAGTGACCTAAACTCTGAATTGATTTTATTCATTAGTTTTTGAATGATGAGCACGTCAAGTTTGATTAGAACATATTACGTACATTGAATTGTGCCTTGTACTACTACTTTATTTATAAAAGTGTTTGATGTTTCACATCCACCTTGCAAATTCCAAATTTAAACTGCAAATGAAAAAAATGTATGTGTTGCTATTGCATTTTGCATATTATTATTTTCAAACTAAAGAAATCACAAATTTATGTTTGCTACTTTTATGTTAGCATTATTTAGGATGCCATTTGCTATCTGCTATCTACTAATCAAATGATTAGTAGTGATACTGAATGAAAATAGAAATTAAACAACATTCTTAAATATTCAAAATAAATTTGCCTAAAATGAGTAGGGAGAGTGGAAAAAAAATATAAGTAAAATCAAAGAAAGTGAGAGAAATAATGTGTGAGGTAGATGAGAGAGGTATAGAAACGTGTGACATGAGATGAGAGAGAGACGTGTGAGAGAGGAGAGAGAAATAGAGGAGAGAGAAATTGATAAAGAGAGTGATATGTGGGATTTGTTGTCATTTTCTATAATTCACTATTTTTAAAAAACGTGTAGTATGTGGGTATTTATGTCTATTTACTTTTAATTTTATTTAATTAATAAGGTAAAAGGACCTATGCCTATATTCATCTTGTTCGTAGGACCTCTACCTATATAAGTCCAAAATTAGGGGTGTCTAGCCAATTTCCCCATTATTTTAAGCATATAGTTTTT